TATCTCAATGATTTCATTTTAGTCTTTGCAGTCTTCTTAATGGCGGCTTTCCTGCAAAAAAGGAAAAAAACTAGAGCAATTGTCCGACAAAAGAAGAAAGGCGAAGTAAAAATTTACTATTCTAACAAAAATGGAAGAAAGCGTTGAAGATGGATTTTGATTTGTCAAAGAAGGAAGATTTCTGATTGTGAGTCACAGAAACATTTCTTTTCGTTTTTCTCAACCAGCCATACCTTCTTCATTAACCTATCTACGCACACTGACAAGACTGAAGTGCGAATATAGACCTCACCGAACAGACAGATATTTCCAAGTCAATAATTTATTCTATCCTCTAGTCTGGAGATTCCCTACAATGGTTAAGTACAAACATCATAATGCAGATAAAGAGATATGAACAAGCACGCTTTGAATTTCAAAAAATAGTCATAAAACAACTGCGATAGATGGGCTCCAAACAAATCAACCCCTGACTAGCAAATACTAATAGAACAACTTAAGTGAATTAGAATCGAAACTTGTCTCTATACAATAGGATACGAACAATGTTCAAACGAAGCGAGACAATTCAGAACGCACTCAAGTGAAAACCATACAACGAAAGGAGCGTTGCTATACATCGCATTTTCTTCCTGTCTCTGCCGTTACCATTATGATACAAAAAAATTTAGATGATACAATGCGCGTCAGTACCAAAAAAAAATGCACAGTATTGCTTCATAAATTGATGGCTACGGCTTTCCAAGCAAATGGAGTAATTTCAATGGCACCATGAAATAGTGTGAGAGCGATTTTGGCAATTTGAATGATGGAACATATGCGGAGATAATACAATACATAAGGCTTAATTATGATCCTGGGTCGGTACACTTGATACATAAAGGAGAATTTGTATTTTTTGTCGCAGCACTTCAAGTAAAGTGAAGCATGATACAACGAAATGATGTATGATTCAATCTGAACTTGCACAAGATTCGCATAGATAGAATCAGTCTATCTTTTTCCGTCCCATAAAATCGCACAATCGGACCCAGAATTAATATCTTGAGTAACTTCCATAAATAAATTCAGCACCAGCAAACGTTTTGTTTAACCTAAGAAGCACAATAAGTTATGTTATATCGCATTTTTGCATTCTGATCACAAAAAAAAAGGTAGGCTGCAGTAAATGACGTAAATGATCACTGCGCAAAAACGTCTTGAGAATTCACACAACAAGCAGAAAACGAAGCAGCAGCAAAAGCCGGAAGGAGCACCACCCGTTGGCTTATACCATGTACGGGAATAGACTACAGGATGATAAGATTATGGACGCAATAACACACATATTCATAAGCGGCACGGGCAAGGCAAATGATGAGAACAATTATTCTACAACTCAAAAGTATGAGAGACATGGGCGGAAATGTTGTAAACAAATCACAAATCGAGCATAAACATCGATGTTCTCAATAAAAGGCCTACAGAACATACTAAAAAGATATCGCATCACGCGACACAACTTCAGCACTCCATAGTACTTAACCAGATTTTTATCTGAATTTTCGATCAAAACGGAGCACATAGGCTACGAACTTGCTGCTATACTTTTCTTAGCGGCAACGATGAGGTAGTACAGGGACGCTAACGGTTTCGCACATCGGAGAAATGGATGTGTAAGAAGTTGACTCGCTGACCAGCGATTGTCTACTACAACTTCCAAGGCGCAGTCTATGAAATCCTGAAAAAACAATATCATAAAAATAACTCTAAGTCAGCCTTGATTCAGTATAACAAACCTTAAATGATGCGGACAACTGATCCCTTCCTGGAAAATCAGGTTTTCCGTTTGTCGCAATAAGATATATGGCCTAAATTGGTTACACAGATCTTCCTAGACAACTTGTGAAACGATTTTTCAGAGTTTTCATAACTTTATTTATGGACAAAACGTACCCTTAAGGGGTTTTCATTCAAGTAAGGAGGCTCTCCTTCGACCATTTCTATTGCCATGATACCCAGTGACCAAACGTCTACCTTCGGTCCGTACTGCTTCCTCGTCACAACCTCAGGGGACATCTTCAAAGGAAATAAATATGGTACATTTGTGTTTGTTGACTGAGGTTATCAAACTTATTCTACTCACCCAATAAGGTGTTCCCACCATAGTGGTTCGTTTATTTTGTTCAGGAGAAATTTGTGCACAGAAACCAAAGTCAGCTGGAATAAAGGAAAGCCTATGATTATCGCGGGAAAAAAGAAAAATATGTTTGCTGATAAAGATGGAAGACCTCAGTTTACAAAACACTTACTTAATTTCACAGAGCCATCCATTCCTAGCAGAATATTGTCCGATTTGATATCTCTGTGAATGACATGTCGACTGTGCAAGAATTCCAAAGCTTGAAGAACCTCAAAAAATGCCGCAGCTTTATTTAAAGATGTTTAGAAAAATCAAGGAATGGTTATCTAACTAGCTCAAGATAATCACCTCTCTGCATACTGCTGCAATCATTCCCTCTTCCATCTGGCACTCAGTGACGACATCAGTAAGAGATCCACCAGCCAGATATTCCATTACAACCTCAACATGAGCCGAGTCATCAAGAAACATTTATTACGTTGATTAATTATGAATTAGAACAAAATCAAAAACAGATCAGTGCTCTAAAATGACTCACCCACAGTTCCTCCCCTACTAAGTATGAATCAAGGTAATTCACAATGTTCGCGTGCTTATTTTCACGCATGACCAGTATCTCATTGATGATCAGTTCTTTCTTCGGTTGGTCCTTGAGATTCATTTGCTTTATAGCTACTTCAGCTCCAGTACTCATTTCCATTGCAGTGTAAACCGACCCAGATGCTCTAAATAGGTGTTTGGAACGAATGTCTTCAAAGAAAAAGATGCATAGATAGAAGACCACAACTGATTCAGAACAAAAGAGCTGTGAGCAAAAGCAAGATTAAAATAGAGAGAAAAATCTGTGTAGTCGCCATCTTTCCAATATTACTGACAATGAAATTCTTCCAAAAAAAACCAAATTCATTACTAAACGGCCAAAAATAGTAAACATACAACTTACCCTGAACCAATCTTATCAATTTTCTTGTATTTTTTATCGGGGTTTCCTATTGTCACAATAGAACGCAGTTTAGTCAGTACCTGGAATGCAGAAGTCAACCGTTCAAAAGAAATACTGGAGATGAAAAGTTATATGAACTAGGAATAAAAATCACTTCAGCATCTGTCATCTTCCTCTTCCCTTTTGCAATACCTCTCGATTGCACCCCAAACTGGCCCTGGGACAGATCCGGAACACGTTCCTCCTCCTCTTTTGGTTTTGTGTACTAAAAAAGAACAGATTTGCAACCCAAATTATTAGATACAAACTCTATCAAAAAACTTACGATGCTGAGTGTACGTGCTGGACGATCCGGGATTGGTGGTGGTACTGCACAATCAGCAGGATCTTCATCTTCAGGAACGGGTGGAGGAGCATAATTCTGAAACAAAGATGTTAAACAGTGCTATTGAGGCATAAAAATTTACTAATTCCAAATGATGCCGCACCTCAAACGAATGAATACGGAGATATTGAGAACTTCGCAAGCCATATTTTTGCAAAGCACTTATTTATGACTCTATCTTGTATGACAGATACACATTGCTCACAAAAAGTCATGCCTCACTGCTATATACAATAATAACCTTCAATGAGGTGTATCAAAACCAGTGACTTCAGTTCAATACGAATGTG